GGAAACCCTGCCTAGGGCCTCGGAGTGGGAACCCCCTGAATGGCAGTGGGTTTGGGCGCTGTGCGGTGCTCACCGAGGGTGTGTGTTGGGGGGATGGGGGTGGGGGAGGGGGCAGGTTCAGGCTGAGCTCCCTTTGTCTGTCTGTCTGTCACAGGTTTGCCGTGGCAACCCCGGAGGAGCTGGCTGTCAACAACGATGACTGTGCCATCTGCTGGGACTCCATGCAGGCCGCCAGGAAGCTGCCCTGTGGACACCTTTTCCACAAGTAGGCACTCCGGGAAGGGCCCCGGAGAGTACTGTTCTGGCTGGGGCTTGGGGGAGCTTTGTGACTGAGCCTCACAGAGGAAGGAGGGCTCCTTGCTTGCTCAGGTCCTGGGGTGCTCTTTGGGGTGTCTCTGTCCCTCAGTCTCTTGCATATCCTGCCAGTCCTCTCCTCTGACATCCCTGGTGGGGCAGACTGTTGTTGTGCTCGGCTGCTCTGAGCGGCTGGAGGCCCAAGTCTACCAGAGGCCCCAGCCCTCGGGAACCAGCGACAGGGGCCTGGGTCCCTGTCACAAGGGGCCATTGTCATTTCTGGGGTTTCCAGGTATGCCAGTCATCCTCATCGCCGTATTCCTTCTCCACATTAAGCTCCAAGGTACAGCAAATATAGCCGTAAGATTAGATTTCAGGGACAGGGTCTGGGAGAAGCCTTCCTTCCAACAGCTGTGGCCTCGGGAGAGGAGCGGTGTCCTTTCTCCCTTTGCAAAGGCCTCGCAACAGCACGGAAACACACAGCAGAGAGGCGGGCAGAGTGCACCGGGCTGGGACCACACAGTCTTGAACAACAGGCTGGTGGTGCCCAGGGTTATGAACCCGGAGAGCCATCCGGCCGGTGGCCCTTAGGATGGAAATGTGCGTGGGTGGGCCCCTTCCTCCTCCCTGGCCTTGTAGCCTCGCTGCCGACCTCCTTTCTGCTCCGATCTCATTTGGGTGTGATAGACCTGGAGGTAACTTTTGGCCTTTTGCATCTGTGGTCAGTTTTTCAGACTGAGAAAGTTTTGACTTTTATATCTTTAAGCTTCCACTTCTTAAATAATACTCCCCAGTAGATTTCCTTCTCCTTTTGACTATCTGAAGGCCCTCGGAGCTACAGTGTCAGTCTTTCGACAGATAATTTGGTAGATTATGCCTGCTTTCAGTTGCTGTGCTGGTGCTGGGAAAAGCCCCGATGGCAGTAAGTTACACCCGAGGGAGGCTGCCGACTGCCAGGTTCAAGTTGCAACCCACCAGCCGCACTGTGCTGCGGGAGAAAGAGGAGGCTCTCTGCTCCCAGAATGACTGACAGCTGCAGAAACCCATAGCAGCAGCTCTGCTCTGCCCTAAGGGCTGATGCTGTGAGCCAGATCCAGTGCATGGCCGTGCGCGCGGCGCGAGAGTGAGAGTGAGTGCTGCTTGTGGAGCGTCTCGGTGCTCGCATAGCCCACCGTTGACTGGAGGAGAGACATGGGCCACCTAGTCACATTGTGAGGCTTTCCGTACAGGCTGAAGGCCTCAAGTGCTCTGACGGCCAGGGATGTGCTTCCTGAGCGCTGGAGCAGGAATCTGGTGGAAAGCAGGAGGAAGTGGCTTGCGGATGAGTGGGAGTCACTTGGAGGCAGTGGAGGGTGGTCAGATGGAGGAGGGTTTGCGACAGCTGTGCACAAAGGCTCCTCAGGAGGGCTGCATTAGGTCGAACGAAATGAGAGCCCGTGGGAGTAGTGAGCAAGAGAGTGGCGTCAGCTGAGGCTGGAGAAAGAAGCTGGCGGCTTGACCCTGACCCTGTAGAGTGGAAGACCAGTGGGAGGGGTGAGAAGCCACGGGAGGTTTAAAGGAGGCATTGGGGCGTGACCCACGTTGCAACTTGGAAAGCTGACCCTGGAGCTGGTCGGTAGCCACATCAGTTGTGAGTAGGTGGGGCAGTGAGTTGGAGGGAGAGGGATAGGTTTGAGAGAGATTAGGAAGCATGGGATGCTAGATTGGGTGTGGGGCAGTGGGGACTCGAGGTATTGGGAGTCTGGCTGTTGGATTGGGTGGCGGGCAGGTGTTGCTTCTTGCTGACGTTGGGCAGACGAGGGAATTCACATACACTTCCCACAGACCTTTCAGGCAGCCCGAGGAGCTTGGAGAGACTACTGCCTCCGCCACTGCTCCGCTGGGTGTCGTCTGTTAGGCTCTGACTCGGCCCCGGCCCGGCCCTCGCCATCCTCGCCGCCGTTGCCGCCACCGTGTCTGTCCGTCTCCTGAGGGCCGCCTTTTCCGCTGGCCTCGTTTTTACTGAGCACGACGGCAAGAACTCCAAGAGCACATTGTAGCCCGGGAGAAAGGCTTTCAGCCATATGATTAGATTACATTTAGCTTCACTGTTAACACTCTTGCTCCCTCGGGCTGAGTGAGCAACCCGTTGTTAGGGCCTGCCTTTGTAGCTTTGACCAGTAGCGTGGGAGCAGGCTCCTGGGATGCCGCCAGGGCAAAGCCCTTGCAGTTGTGGAAAAGTCGAATGCCTGGACCCCAGGAGCCAGAGCCGGGATGTCCTTGCAGGGTTTTGGAGCCCAGTGGTCTTTCATCACGCTGAAGCCTCGTTCTCAGAAAGAGGAGGGAGTGCGTCCTCAATCGAATATGCTTACGGCTGTGTAGAAAGTGTCTGTGTTTTCTGAAGCATGGTTTCGTTCAGCTCCGAAAGTGCTAGCTTTTGCCTTTCATTTTTTTTAAGGCAACTCTGCCTGATTCAGGATCTTTGGTGGCATGCAAGGCTGAGTTACACGTGGCTGCAGACGGCAAGGTCACCAGTTTGAGCCTACCAGCCCACTCCTTGGGATAAAGACGAGGCTTTCTACCCCCCTAAAGAGTTAGACTCAGAACCCCTCAGGGGCAGTTCTGTAGGGTGACTTCAGGGTCACTGAGTCAGGCTGACCTCGCGAGCAATGCGCTCCTGCTGCGTTTGTTATGTCTGACTCACTGTCCTCACCTGGGGGCTAGGCTGTCGGAGTTCATGTGGGAGGTTTGTGTGGTCTATCGGATGAGATTGGAATTGCTGCTGAACAGCTCGTCACAGGGTAGCAGGATTGGAGGGCAAGGATCTTAGAGCGGACCGTCCCTGCACATGGCTCATTTGACTAGTGCTGTGATTTAAGAGTGCTCGTTAAGGGAACGTGGGCTTTAGAACATGTAACCAGTCGGCTGATATGTAAATGACAAACAAACTATGGGTGCTTTGTCATTTTGCACTGTGACAGGCTGTGTGCACACACACACTCCTGCAGATCCCCTTGGTTTGGGACATGTGGTCGGGCACAGCGGTGGTAAGTAAGGTGAGGTGGCGGTGACCCCAGGACCGTCACACTGTGGTGAGGGTCTCCGGGGAATGCTGTCTGCTTGCGTGCCCGGACACAGCAAGTGAGCGTTATTGTCCCTGCCACTTGGAGGTCCTAGGAGGAAGATAGCATGGAGAGTGTGCCCTCGGCGATCATTTCATGAACTTTAAAATGTTCTGTGGCGACGATCGATCCAGAGTGGTTGAAGAATTTGCCTGGTTGCCGCCCAGCTAGTTAGTGGCGGAGTTGGGACCTGATCCCATATTCCCCAGTCCTTAGTCTCGTCCCTTCCCCTTTACCTGGCACGGCAGGTGTTTCTCAGGTGCCTCGGAGAGGGCAAATTACACAGGGAGGCGGGCTGGGGAGCTGACGTGGTGTGTGAGGTGAGGTCAGTGGAGGAGGGACGTGAGAACCCCAGAGGGCGATGCCTGATGGACAAGGGCTACCTGTGGGTGGGAAGCCCCCCAGGGGTGAGTCCCAGAAAGGAGCCGGAGCCAGGGAACTTTCATCACGGGAGGCGAGGCTGAGGTTCAGACCTTGTCCGTGGTAGGTCATGGGGGCCGTGGGTTCCAGGGCAGGAGACCCCAAGGCAGAGGAGTCCACCCTGTGGATTTGAAGTGACCCAAAGGGTTGGAGAGAAAGCTAGTCAGCCAGGCCAGGAAGTCTCGGTAGGGAGCGCTTGCAGACAGCGGGGGTGCCCGAGGAAGTGCACCGCAGAGAAGCTAGGCAAGGGAGTCCTGTCCATCATCTCTTCTCTTCCCAACTCGTGCCGCTCATGCTGGTGAGGAGACGGTGCAGTGGGAGCACAATGGAGACCGCCCCTCGGGGGCTTCCCGGACCTTCTGCTGGCAGCGCACAGGGAGTCGGTAAGGTGCTCATGGTCTCCCTTTTGGGTTTTTTTTGCTAGCTCCTGTCTTCGTTCCTGGCTAGAGCAAGACACGTCCTGCCCCACCTGCAGAATGTCTCTCAATATCGCTGACAGCGGCCGCGCCCGCGAGGACCAGCAGGGGGAGCACCTGGATGAGAACCTGGTTCCCGTGGCTGCGACCGAAGGCAGGCCGCGCCTGAACCAGCACAATCACTTCTTCCACTTTGACGGTGAGTTGGCTTGAGGTGGCTTCCTCCTGCAGAAGGGCACAGCTGGCGGGATTCAGCGTCAGGGGCCCCGCGGGCCGGGCCAGCGTTAGACTTCAGCTCTCACTCAGAGTTGAGCTACACCTGGACAGCACTCAGGCTGAGGAGGTACGCTGCACCTGGCATTTTGCTAGATTGTGTGTGACTGTAGGTGAGAGGGGCCCAGGGGTGGAGGTAGTAAAATGGAATCACTGTGCCTTTAAGGAGCGCCTGTAATCAGCTTAATCGTTAGCCCTTGTGCATTACTGACTGCGGTTGTAGCAGTGATGCATATAAGGAAGGGTCAGCGAGTCGCTCTGCCGGGGAGTACCAGAAGCAGAAACTGTTGCCCAGAAATGCTGAACGTTCTGTAATAAAACCAGACTTCCAGTTCTGAGGCCAGGGCCCACA